GCTACATCAAATTTTCTGCTATCGCACCAGAACGATTTCCACTCGTTTTGAGCACTTTCAACCTCTTATTTTGGGTTTAAAAATAGTGTATTTATACATATTAACCTGTAAACTTCATCTAACTTTGTTACTCTACTATTCTACAATAATTTCTACTTCTAATTCTCCAATTTTCGTCATATTCCTAGATCTACAGTTTTCCAGATCTAGAACTTTATGATCAACACAACAACAGCAAGGTCAGCAATAACAACACATATATGGCATCATGGGATTCATGAGTTTCACATACAATCACGTAGAAACAACAAAATCAAATAAAGAAGAACATTCATCAATTGTTCATGAAACCTAAAGAGGGAAAGGAACCCTCACTATCCTCTCATGCTATAATCACCATTTATAGAACTCATTCACCCCCTTACCTTAATTTGCAGCCTTGATTCTTCAACAACGGAGGAATCTCTCTTGCCCTAGTTTTTCCCTTCTCTTCTCTTCTCTGTTTCTATGTGACAATAATTTTCCCAATTGTTCTAACTTTCTCCTAATTATATTTTATTATTACTAATATTAACTAATAATAATAATATTAATAATAATAGTATTGTCCTTCGATTTCCATTATTATCAATATTTCACCATATGCTAAGCTTATCTTAATTATTTAATTAATACTAAACTCTACCCTTTAGTTATGCCAACATGATTTAAATTCAACAAATAATGACTGTATATTTAAATTGGGCGTTACAATTTGGGCCGATTCTAATTATTGGGCCAACCCAGAATAAGTTTGTTTTAACTTTTCCTACGTGGCATGATTCATTGATGTATTTTAAACATCTTGGTATAACTGATTTTAGTATGACTTGATTTTACAAGATTTTTTATAATAGAGTTTCTCTCTCTAAAAATTTGTTACAACCTTTCTCTCTCATCTTTTTCTCTTTATTCTTCCATCTTTGTCTTAAGGTTTGTGCTCCAAGAGATCGATTTATTTTCTGCATTATCCGGTGAATTCCTGACACATTTAACTGTTTCACAAGCTTGTGGACTTAACCCTCTATTTGATTTCCAAGGGTTAGAAAAATTTCCCTTGAGTGATGATGTTAAGGATAAATTGAACGACCAACACCGTGATTCTTTTATATGATCATTTAAAAAGTTAATTCTTGCTTCACATGCCTACTTTTTAGTTGCGGTTGATGCATGTGGTGTGATCTATGTGATATCTTTAAGTGAATATGTTACCAAAAAGAATTATATATCTGAAAAGTGTCAAGCATATTCTCTAATTTCTTGAGTGTTTTCAATCAAATGATTTAAACATAATAAACGGAAGTGTTTCATACCTAGACAAAGCCGTGGAAGGTAATACGCTCGAGAAAGTTGATGGCTACACGTCTCAAGAAAAGAGCAATTTGTTTGGTCCCAATTCAAGTGGTTTTTCTTCTGCTTCTAAAGCAACTAATGATCACAGATTTATTGGTTCTAGTGTGAAATTGCATGTTTGGAGAAAGATATTCCTTCCTAATTTTAAACTATGTAAAGATGATTCTATTTCTTTTTCTCCCATGGGAATTACTATTCTCTCTAAATTGAAGAATGCAAAGAATCAAACAGGTTCAAAACTTGTATATTTTAATCTGCAAGTGAATTTAGATGTCCACGATGATAACATTTTACATAGTGCATATGATGTACATCACTTTATTGAAGAAGAAGAACCTGTTAGTGGAGTAGTGGGTTGCACATTTCAGGTTATTTCTATGTCGTGAGACAAGATGGTCTATTGGTGTATGTTCCTCCCGTCCACACTTTTGATTACCACTCACAATGATGAAAAATAGTATAAATTGTGGTTCAATGAAAATCATCGACGAATAATAAACATAGTTGGATAAATTTTGTGGTTTTTAAATTTGTTACAAATTAGTTATGAGATTAACTACAGATTAGCTAAAAACGTATGAGTTCAAGTATGATGTTGGCCCTAGTCACGTGACATGTCACATCGACATCTTTGTCATGTTGTCATTGTCACATGTACATCCTGTCACATAAAATTTTCATGTCGCATGTCACGTCAGTTTCAGTTAATGTTGATGAGAGGGACGAAAATATTAGGAGGATAATTTATGTAACGGAATATTTGTAGTATCAAAGTGTTCATATTTTTTTTGGATTTAGATACGAAATGTATGTAAATTCGGCTTACAGCATTCCAGTTCAGATTCTTATATGGTTTGTTGGTTGCCTTCAGATCTGCATAGAATATTTTGTTGTTATAAACAACGAAGACTTAATTTGTCTGATCTTGTCTCATAGGTTCTTATTCAATTCAGAGGCGAGTAATCAAACTCTCAATTAAAAATTATCTGGTCTTAAAGTGGAGAAAGTTTTTAAAATATTTCTAACCATGGGCAGTTTGTCAATGATAACAGCAATCTGAAATTATTCATCTAGGGACAATACCTTTAATAATGATTTCGTGAGCAATCTTCTAAAGTTCGTGGCATTGAATTTACACAGATCTTTCATCTACCATCTGATAGTTTAGATAGTGGCTAACATCATACTTCTTTGTTCTAACTTCTTTAATATCGTATTTCTTTTTTAGAGCTTTGCAAATCTGTTTTGGAGTCTCGCATTTACATTAATAATCATAAAGATCATCAACAATATCGCTCAGAATGTAATTTTTGCAGAGATAATCATTCTCTCACCATAGGCTGATTTCTTTCTTGAGCTATAAATAAGTCGCTTTAATTTGGATAGCAAATTCAGTTTCAGCAGAACTACTAGTTCCATTTGAATCCATAGATTCCTTGTCGTTAGTTTATTCGATTGATCCATAAGGAGCAACAAGAATGTCCTTAGTCAAAACGTTGATAACCTTTTTCAAGGTTAAGAAAAAGTGTATCTTTTGTTGCCAGCGTTTGAAATGACTTCCCTCAAACTTGAACGTTTTGTCAGAGACAATAGACGCGGAATTTCGGTAGCCATGGCATTTTTAGAAACGTCTTAAAATTATTGTTTTATGATTTTGAAAAAATAGCCACAAAAGAAATTATCTGGTTGAGTTGCGGACTAGGTCGCTCTTTTTAAGATGTTTCACGGTAAACATTTCAGGAATTGGAGTGAAGAAAATGAGATGGAAAAGTCTCTATTTATACGAATTAAGAGAAATCGTGGGGAAGTGAAACAGATCTGATTCATAACTAGCCATTATAAGCTTGGTTAAAAGTCAGACACTGAAACTTGGAAGGCAAGGCAAAAATTCGATCAAACTTTAGAGTTAAGTTAATTACAACACACCATTAATTAATCAATAAATTTTTGATTAACTTTAACTAATTTCCACCATTTAATAATTAATTAATTAATTTTTAATTAACAATAATTAATTTTCACCATTTTAGGTACGAAATAAATATTGGATCAAATTGGGTAATGCTCCGTAGGTGTCTAATAGTTAATGGTAGTGTGTTCTCTTTCTACCACAAAACTGGGTAATTTTGATGGATCAAGCCAATTGGTCAATTTAAAATATATAAACACTATTAAAGTGGGTTATCTCTTCGATGTGAGAATTCAATGAACTTTTTCAAATTCACTTCTATATAGACCGCTAATGTCATTAACTCCTTCCAATTACCCATTAATCCTTTGATTTGCAACCGCTACTTAAATAATTTGTTCAACAAATTATGTGGTGTTGTTTTTTTTTTTTGTACAAAGGAAAAAAGAAAAAGGAAAAAAATCAGGAAATTATCTAGAAAATACAATTCCACTAGCATCTTCTAGCAGAAGAGTCATGATTTCAACAGGAGGCTCCGCAAAGGATCGGCACACCGCATCATTACCACTTTCATATTTTGCTAGATAGCCAGCACAAACATTTTTCTCTCTGAGAGTATGAATTAGTTGAACTCGCCATTCTCTAAAGAGAAACTCTTTAATGTTGTGAATAATCGCGATATAGTGATGTCAAATATTAACAACATCGATATATGTCAGGTAGATAACATCGACATATGTTGCACTTTTCTCCATAAAAATGCGCAATTGTAGAAAATGCAAAAGATCTCCTATGATTCCCTAAACACGAACAAATGTGAATGCATGTCTATACAAGCTACTTATTTTGAATGCAAGTCTATACAAGCTACTTATTTTGAATGCAACTATAAACTAATGCATTTTAAACAACATATTTTATCTAATACATGCATCATAACTCAAAAATAAAAAGAAAATGAGAAACTTACCGATTGAGACTTGTTGTGCGCGAAAGATTGAATGGGGTGAATGGAATGTCTTGTGAATGATTGCAATGAGGTAGAAGTAGTGTTCAAAAATAACCTTATTGGTTCTTATTCACGAACTCCAGAGTGTATTTAAAAGTGTAGATAATGAAGAAGGAAGGGGAAAGGTTCTAGCGCGAGGTATATCAATTAAAACTCATTCGGGACTGCACATTTATAAAACTCATTGAGCGTATAACACTGAATTCTGAAATAAGGGTTATTACGGAGATGCACCTCCAGATTCACCCTAATATGAATATGGAGATATATTTGCAGACACATTTTTGAGCAAAATGGAGTGGCTCACTCACGAAAACATTGGAGTGTGTAATTAGATGCGCTCGAAGATATATCTCTGAAATCTAATGACTTTTGTATCCTAAAATAGACATTGTAGGGGCTAAAACTAGGGGACATCATAGCCCGATATTTGTTCATTTGTATTTGGGCGCTTGGAAACATTAATGAAGAAGGCAAAGGCATTCTCATTAGATTTTTTAAATGACTATATTAGTGGGGGGAATCCTGATTTCACGGTGTCCCATTTATAATACATGGATAATACATTATTCATTGGAGAGGTGAACTTTTATTCTTTAGTATAACACAAGTAGAAAATTTTCAATACAAAGTAATTGTCTTCAGCTCATAACTTCCCTTCATATATCTATCACATTTTGATCTCTACAATCAAAATGGTTTCTCTTCATTTCTAACAAAAAAGCAGCCAGAAGGACTCCCATCAGGGAACAATGCCAACCTCACAATCGATTCAGCACCTTCATCAGGTGTCAAATAACCTGTATTGTAGTTTATATCTGTTTTCACAAAGCCAGGACAAACAGCATTGATGCATATTGATGAATATTTTCTAGCCAGAACTCTTGTGTAGGCACTTAGAGCAGCTTTCGAGATAACGTATGTAGACATATTTATAGGCCAACCTTTGTTTTCTACTATTGAACCCTCTTTAAAATCCTTTAGAAACTGGCTCAAAATTTCATCAATCTTTTCTTCATTAAGGTTTTCAACATCACTTAGTACTTCCTTAGGCCATCCTTTCGGAATATTCTGCAAACGAAATCGAATGGAAATGAGCAACATCTCCAATAGCTTAACAGATAAAAATGAAGAATGAATATATAGAAATTAGGTATAACAAAAGTTATCATCGTCACGTACCTCTAAACTTCCCATGAATGAGGAAACATTGACAATTGTTGGTGAACTTGAAAGCCGGAGAAGAGGAATAAGTGTTTCGGTTAATTCCTTGGCTCCATAGTAGTTTGTTTTAATACCTACTTCAGTTTGTTCATAGCTCTCAGTTATTATTTTACTCCAATCAATTTGGCCACCATTTTCCTGGAACCAAAAACAGGATGACATTATATTTTATGAATGAATTGATGAAGATAGCCTTAGCCATTGACCTTAAATTATTGATAAATTTCAGTAAAGTTATTTTGTGAACGTACAAGGTAATATGTATCATACCACAATATTAAAAGCAGCCAGAGCCTCAGTGTTCATATGAACTCCGGGAATTCCAGCATTGTTTACCTACAAACAAAATGCGTTTCAAATATTTGGGACAAGGTATCAATGGATTGTTAGAATCGAATCGGACTTCTGTATGAAAACTGTATATTGCTCTTATCAAATAAATTACACACTTGGTCTTTTATAGACCCAAATAACTTTTACAATTCTAAAACATAAACATAAACATAAGTGCTACTAATAACTATCATAACTTACTAAACTTTTGTCTTTCCTACTGCCATATTTAAATGTAAAACTTATTACTAACACATTTAATGTTTATTCAACATGGATCACATGCTAGGTTGTTAATCTCAGACAATAACCGCTAATCAACAAAACAATGTTTAAGAACCATAAAAAAAAAAGTATTTGAATGATCTCACCAAAATATCAAGTTTTCCAAATTGATTCTGGATAAAATCTGCAAATGATGTTATACTTGCAGGATCTGTGACATCAAGTTGATGAAAAACAATAAGGCCAGAAAGAGAAAGCTGTTTCAATTTGTCAACAGCTTCAAGACCTCTATTTTCATCTCTTGCTGTAAGCACAACAGTGATCCCTTTAGAAGCCAATTGTTTGCATACTGCAAATCCTATTCCTTTGTTTGCTCCTGTAACAACTGCATACCTATAAACAACATTAACAAGATCATGTTACAATGAAGTTGTGGTTAATTGCATATTCATAAGGAAAATTGTGCTTTACCTTTTTGTTGTTTCTGCCATTGATAGGGCAAGATTGAAGGGTTAGCAAATATGAGTCGTACTAAAACAAAGATGGTATATAAATTAAAATGGGTTTGTTTGAAGTTATGTTTACATCATTTGTCTTTAAATATTGGTTAAAAGAGTTCAAATCAAACTTGGTGTTCCCCACCTTGCAGTTTTTTAATCATCAGAATTTCATCATTTATTCATAAAATATGCATCATGATGTAGATTCCCACCTTGCAGTTTGAATATTTTGCTTCAGAACAAGTCTCAAAATTCATAAAATATTTATATAGAAATTTATCGATTACCAAAACAAAAAATTTGCACATCAACCGTAAGAGTCGAATATAATCTTTCATTCAAATCAACTTCTTACTAATTCAATGAATCTTTGTTGACAAATTTTTAATCTTTATTAAAAAAAAATTGTCTGTCTCATAATGTGAATTCTCTCTCCAAATCAAGTTTTACTAATATGCAAGAATCGGCCATCAAACTCGTAATTGACTATTTATTAGATTCAAATTTGTTACCCTTTGACCACTTCATGATAGTTTTCTCCCCTCTATTAAGAAACTTTAGGATTAATGGGTGGGATAAAATATTTCTTTGTTAGCACTTTATGTTCATGTAATTTATATTACTTAATTTTTTTTTATAATTATATAATATTATTTATTGTATTAATAATTTTTAAAAAATTAATAGTTGTATACAAATGATGAACTCTAAATTGAAAAAATTTCAAATCCTTCTCTTAGATAGATTCCATTTCATTGCTATCTATTCTGAACCGAGCTTATGGTTGTACGGTTCATTTTTCCCTTACATCGAGGACGGTCAAAACGATGGCTGAATCAATCGGGATCTAAGTTGAAGGTACGTTCAACATGTGCTCCTCTCCACGAGGACACCCTATTCTGGACTAGGCCTATGGTTGGTCCAATGTCGGGAACGGTCCATCTTGCCCCTACGTCGAGGACGGTCCAAACGATGGTTCAATCCATTAAGGACAACAAAAAACACTTTTCTCGGGTGCCCTCTCTTGGGGACACGTGGCCAAACAGATGTCCTCATCCCATATAACTGACAACTGACACTCTGCCCATGATAACGACTAGTTTCGGGCATCTCTGTCTATGATAATGGCTAGTTTCAGACATGTCTTTCTAGGATAACGTGCACGAGCTGCTCACCCCTGCTTTCATGCAGAAATCCTGGCAGTTACCTATTTTTAGGCCAAGATCATGGATGCCCGGCCTATAATAGGAACCAAAGGTCAAGCACCGAGGCACTATAAATACCCTCACAATTGTGAGGGTCAGGTAATTCAAATCTTATCCCTAAATTTTCTCACGTTTTTCTACACTCTTACTTACTTCAGCATCGGAGTGTCTTGCAAGTACACTCTCTCCTCCGTGATTTCAGCACTGCAGGCGAAGTTTCTGGTCCATTACAGGCTCTGATCACCAGTAAGATCAATGGTGTCGTCTGTGGGAAACCTGTTTTCCCCATCATTCATTCTCCAGAAACCAAAGATCAAAACAAGGTTTCAAGATTTCGATCATGGCCAGTCAAGACAACGAAAACACTTTTCACAAAACCGTCATCTCACCAGTCTGAAAAATTGACAACGACGAAGAAAAGCCACTTCTCGAAGAAGTTGTTTCTCTGAAGAAGGACGGTCACACTGCATCTCCTTCCTCTGATGTGGAGAAAGACGAAAATGTCCAATTAGTGGAGACAATCAAGATCAAGGAAGCTCAAGAAATGGCGCTGGAAGGCTTCCAGCCGATTCTGGTGTCTTCCAACACTGACCCAACTATGGAAGCCCTGTTCGCGACACTCAACCATGCAAACGCCTTAATCCACCAGAACGCAAAGATTGAAGCTTTGGAAAGGGACATCTATTCACGCTCTCCCCCGCGGAGACACCGACAATACGAGTCCTGAAGCCCTTCCCCTCAGCGGCATGGTCACCGCCCACAATTAGAAAGACCATAACCCTCGGCGGCCAGGAAGCCCAATCGCGCTCCTCCCCGCGAGGATCGACGTTCCCCAAATGCAAGAAGAGAAAAGCCCAAGGACGACCAATTAATCGTCATTCGCCCCCATCGAAGGGTCGATCGAAGAACTCTCCACCCTGTCATGATGACAGTCCCCGACGGGAGGAGCAGGACAATCCTCCTCCAAGATCGTTGACCAGGAGCGACGAAAACGGTCCCCGTAGTCTGCTATCCTGAACAATCATGAAAAATACCTCCCTATCGGATTGGGGAAGCCTTCAAATTTGGGAACGTATGACGGGACTACCAAACCCGACGAACACGTCAAGAATATCGATGCCTTGCTCGACTACCGAGGCGTCAGGTGCGCCATCAAATGCCAACAATTCCCTACCACTCTGAGGAAGGGTGTCATGACTTGGTATAAAATCCTTATCAACGAGTCCATCATGTCCTGGAAGAATCTTGGGAAGCAGTTCTCCAGGAAATTTACAGCTTCTCGTTGCCACCCAAAATCTCAGGCAACGCTCGAAGCCATCATACAGGGGAAGGAAAAAACTTTCTGAGCATGCATCGAGAGGTTCACCAAAGAAGTCGTCCAGGTCTCGACGACCGACGACATGAAGAAATACCTGCTCGAGCGGAGACTGCGCCCCCGTAGTGACTTTGGAAAAGTATTTGGCATTGAAACATCTGTATTTCTGGATACCCTCCTCCTCAAGGCCCAGACCTACATTTAGTACGAGGAGAAGGAAGCCGCCAATAACGCTCAGGACTCGCGGCACCAGAAAAATGCCAGGAAACCCCGTTTTGACTAGCCTACGGGACCGAGGTTATAATTCTGGTGGAAATTAGAGAGCCTTCTAAGTAAACTAAGTTTCCCCTCGACGAGGAGATGAACGACAAGGCTCCCGGGAGGAGCTCAACCTTGTCGAAGAAATTTGATTGGAAGCAGTCCTCCGAGAAGCTTCACTAAAGCAAAGAATAGTTATACGATATGACGCCAAATTCATAAAATGCAAATTCCAAATTGGCAACCTAATATTGAGAAGAAATCACAAAGATTCCCACGAGGGAAATCTCGCCGTGAACTGGGAAGGCCCATATCGTGTCATGGAAAAAACAGAAAACATGACATACTCTCTCGAAAACCTACACGGGGAAAAACTTGCTCGACCTTGGAACGTCGAGAAACTGAAATAATGTTACAGTTAGGCCTTAACAGGCGGAGTGACCCGCTCAATGATGAGGGGACTCGCCCCGACCACAGAGACGTGCTCAGGTACAAGCACAACCTCCCAAACATAGGCGAAAGGCAAGTTTCTGCTCTGTGAAGAGCATACTCTTAGCCCGACAGGGATACCTCTACCGAGCTCCGCCTTCGTCTTAGCATGTTGGAAGAACACCCAGCTCACGATTGGAAGTTCACTCCGCGAAGCTAAAAACCTCGATTGAGATCTTTGCCACCGCCACCAGTCCAGAATCCTACTTCGACCACTCGATATGTTCCCCACATTGTCGAGCAACAACGTCGTCGACAAAAGTTCCCCCCAAAACACTTAGCGAAAATAATTCGTAAACGAGATTTTATCACAGGCTGCTCAAACCAATGATCCCCCAGAGCGCGTGACCGAGGAAAATTAGTACTTGGCAAATGTCATACCCCAAATTTGTCTTACCCTTTCACTTTTTATCTGACTTAGGCTTTTCATTCATCTGCATATCTCCATTAGGCCATCATGCATCACTAGTTAATAAGAATTTAGCATGGGATCAAGGATCTTGAAGAATTAGGAGACTCTCGGCTTCATTCAAGGGTATTCACATGTCATTCTTGAAGATCATCTCTTGGCACCTATAATCATCATTTGGGTTAAGGTTTATTTCACTATTCATGAATTAATCGAGAGGATTTCCTTATGGAGTTTTGTTCATTAGTGAATATCATCATTCAAAGGATCTCAATAGTGGCTTGAGTTACAAGTTTTGTGCAAGATGTGATGTTCCTAGAAAATTAGGGTTGTTATGTGGATTAAGGTTTCTACATCATAAGAGTTTGTTGTCAACATAAGTATTCTCAATGATCATGTCCCTCTGCTGGTGTTACCAGATGGAATTTTAGGGTTTGGTATGAAGATAATCATGGTGTAGCTCATCTCTCAACATTAATGTTCAAGAATTTTTTATCTTCAATTGAGGATTAAGTTTACATGACTAATTGGGTTACAAGTCATCTTATCGAATCTTATGCAAGATTTTGGTGTAGAAGTGGTGTTATTGTGGGTCTATTTCAAATGTAAAGGATTCAAGCAGAGCTTTGACTTTCAGTCAAGGTTAACCATGGTTCTGACTTTTGACCAAAGTTTTTCTTACATCTTTTTGAGCTTTCATCTTATCATCATGTGATTCTTACTCAAGTTTGCAAATTTGACGTGGAAAAGATTAGAAATTCAAATAAGTGCATAGTGGTGGGAAGCTTCAAAATTCAAATTGATTTGAAAGAAAAGATCATTACATTCTCAAAGCCAAATTCCATTACAAGATATTAAAGGTTGCACTACAAGATACATTATGTCATACAAAGAAAATTGCAAAAGGAAAAAACCAAAAAAGTGATTGTATTGACCAAAGTCAAATGGATTCCTAAGGCCTATTTCTGTTGATCTTCAGTTACACCATGTTCTCAAGACTGCCCTCATGCTGGTAATTTAACCACACAATAACCCCTTCACCTATGCCAACATAACTTCATATTGTTTGCTCTTCCTTCATGCCCAAAACTATGCCATGACTTAGTTTGGAAAAAAAAACCATCAGACCTGCAAAGAAAAACATGCGAGCAGACTCGCACAAATCAGCTTAATACCAGACACTTATGCACCATAAATCAAAAAACTCATGCCAACTCCAAGTTACACATCATTCACAAAGACCAAGTTATTCATTTAAACCATATGCTAAGCCAAAAATTAAGCATAGTCCAGAGAAATTCTTGCAGAATCCATGCTCAATACCTATTACAACATTAAACCAGAGAAAAATCACTTCCAATACAAATGATATAATAAAACGTAGGCCAAACATAACCTACATCATTTTTCTCTAACCTGCATTACTTACAACCCCCGACAGTTTTAACTTTTATCCATTTGCTAACAAGCAATTCCTACTGTGAACCATTAACTTTCACTAGTATCATTAACAGTTTTACTAAAACAATCTTCCAGCAGTTTTTACCAACATAAACTAACCTCATTGGCATTCTAGTTCACTAACTATTCTAACATTCAATTTAACCACTTAACCATTAACCGAAACAGTTCATAACGACATCCTAACTAACGGCCCTAACAGATTTCCAAAACCACCAAATCGAAATTAATTGGTTCCTAATTACCCAATCCAAAAAAAATCATCTAACTGTTGACCTAATCAACTAGCATCTGTAGCAGTAAGCTAATTTTGTTAAAATCAAGTTCTAACAGTTTCGCAAATCCTCAAGTCCTTATAATTTTACTCCACCAACAGTTAGTGTCAAAATAAGTCAGCCAACTAACTTCACAATCAGTAACAAAAAGATCTCAACTAACTCTCAATCCAAGTAACTAACTCCCTAACCGATTCAATCTCGACCCTTGAATCTTCTAACAAACTAACAATCATCAACGGCTCTGATCCTCTCTTCTCTAACCGTTTTCACCACCTTCATCAACCTATATAAACTAACCTCACCTTCATTCAACAAAAACCACCATTTTTTCACCGATTCACTCTTCACCCTCTCCATAAATTCTTTCAACAACTTCACTCTTCTCTCATCTCTCAACCTTCCACCACCAATCTCAAATCCTCTCTGCTTCCTCTCTCCATCTTCATCCTCCATCACCATTCTCTGAACCGCATCCTCTCAACTTCATCATTCACCCATCACGCTACTACAAATATCAACCGCAATCTGCATCATCATCATCATCCGCAACAATCAACAACAACTTCGAATCCACAACGCATCGAATCCGAAGCGATGAAGATGACGAATGGCGATGTGAGGAGAGAAATATGAGTGGTGTTAGTACTAGTGGTCGGTCGTTGTCACGGTGAAGGAAGGCGGCGTCAGAACAAAGAAGGTGAGAGGATGGAGAAGGAGAGTGGTTTTAGTACCAAACGATGCCGTTTTTGCCAAAAAAAAATTTCTTTTTTATTTTTATTTTTGTTCTTTTATTTTAAATAACCAAACATCTGAAAAATGTGAAGAAATATGTTGGAAATGGTGAATTGCACTGAACCTTGATTCCACTGGGCCTTGCGTTTTCTCCTGTGGCCCGTGGACACCGTTTTGGGTACCACCTTTTGCCATGCACAAAAAAACATCTTTCTGGGTTCAAGCTAGTGGGCTTATCACCCAGGTCTGCTTCTTTTTACACCCTTATTGCTTCAATAAACTCCACTGTTTTGCTTTGTTTATTATTTTGACTTTCTTTTTTACTTAGATTTTTCGTTATATTTGCTAGCATGGTTTATTAATTTACTTCTACAAAATGGACATGAAAAAATATATGATATCTTGATCATAGTTTTAGGATTTTTCTTGTTTATTTTTGTGATAAACATGTCTTTGTTGCTTACAGAATTTCATGTGAATTTTAGGTTAAAGTTCATCTTGGTTCTTGATTCTTTGTGATTGGATTATGTGCAATATTCTTGATGTTATTGTGCTTATGTGATACCATGCTCCCTTTGAATTTTTAATTTAATTTTAATCTCTCAATTAAATTGAATTAATTAGATTTTAGGTCTTTAAAATCAAGCATGACAGTAATTAAGTAGAATTTCTCTTACTTCCAACTTTAGGACCATGATGCATGATAACATTACGATTAACTCTCTTTAGTCTTTTTCTTCTTTTGCACTGCATTTTAAAACAAAAACTTTCTTCTTATAAAAAAAAGTCAAGACATTTACAAATAAAAAGGTGAATCGTATGCAGTTGAGTCTTATAGAAAAGGATGAGCGGGTCTATTCCCTACCTCATTTTTCTTTCATTTTCAGACTTTATTACGATTAAAATCACAAACTCTTTTTTCACAAATAAATGGAGAAGTAGTTGGTGTCCCTCCATTGGGATTAATTGGCTATTATCCATATCAAAATACTCCAACAAATTCAAACTCTTTTGTCTTCAAACTTTTTTCCTTTAACATTTTCAAAAGGGGTATGCTAATTCTAATATACGCAAACAGGAAACGTAAACTGTATGAGCGGCCGAGCATAATTCTCCCTGAGTTGCAACGCCAAGTACGAACTACAAACCCTAACTGCAAGAAACATATTTAGCATCATCCATAAAAAGCACACAACAAACAAAACAAACCAACATTTTTTAGGTGAACTACGAGTGCCCTGATCCTCCATTGCACGAAGGGGGTACGTAGACACAAAGGTTCACAACTGCGACAGATGCAATAATTTAAAACTTTTATTTTCCCCTTAAGTAATACATGCATGCATTCCCTTAACAAGTAAGCATTAGATATAACAGACTCTTTGATTAGAACAACAATATAACAAACTCTTTGATTAGAACAACAAGAGTGGATCCCGTGGAGTACCACGAGTGTGAGGGATTCTAATACCTTCCCCTCGTGTAATCAACTTTCGTACCCTCTCTCTTGGTCTCAAGACCATATTATCCATTCCTTTTGGGGTTTTCTCGATATTTTCCTTTCCTTTGAGATAAATAAAGTTTGGTGGTGACTCTATTTTTTTTCGCAGTGCGACAACAAATAAAGGCATACAATGAACAAGCCAAATGCTCAACACGATCACAAGCTCAACTAACGACCACCACAGGCACAAATAAAAATTCATCTCGCGCAAAATCTCATGCTCCTCCTTGATGCCGAGCTGACTCTAATTCATTACTCCTCTTCCTAGGAGCAGCGACTTGGGGGGCTCCTGTTCTGAACTGGGTCTATGGTTGTACGACCCATCTTTCCCCTACGTCGAGGATGGCTCAAATGATGGTCTAATCCATTGGGGTCTAAGCTAAAGGAATGTTCTTCACGTGCTCCTCACCCTGAGGACATACTGTTCTGGACTGGGCCTATGGTTGGCCCACTGTCGGGAACGACCCATCTTGCCCCTAAGTCGAGGATGACCCAAACGATGGCCCAATCCTTTATGGACAACAGAAAAAACCTTTCATGTGTTCCCCCTCCCGGGGACATGTGGCTAAAAAGATGCCACTCATCACGTATAACTGGCAGTGGACATCTTTGCCCATGATGATGACTTGTTTCGAGTATCTCTGCCCATGATAACAGCTAGTTCCGGGTATCTATGTCCATGTTAACAGCTAGTTATGGGAATCTCTGCCCATGATAACTGCTAGTTCCGGACATCTTTGCTCATGATAACGGCTAGTTTCGGCCATGTCTTCCTAGGATGAATGCATAATTTAGTCTTTTATTTGCAAGATTGTCGATGAGTGTTTTTTGTCCCTCACTTTTGTGTGTTCTTCATCTACCAATGAATTTTCACTAGGTGTAATTCATGATTGAGCTTGTTTTATTTTAGAATGTTTAATATGATTTTTGTACTTAGGAATCGTTTTGTTTACATGTTGTCATTGTAGGATTGTGGTAAGAGTTTACCTTGTGTGTGCGTTTTTGTTTGAACCATACATTTATTTTCGTTTTTCAAACTTGTTGATTCATGATTATTTGGTTGATTAATTTTGTTTCTTTGAGTTGTTTGGCCTTGTTTGAGGACATACAAGTTCAAGTTGGGGAGAGTTTCATAAGTGTAGATTGTAGCTATTTTTGTATATATTTTTTGTTGAACTTATCGACTCTTTGTTGTTACTTTTGGTTGAATAAACCTGACTTTTGTCTAAATACGTTTAGTTTGTATATAATTGTGTTTTTATATACATAGTCTAACGTTTGATAGTTTTAATGTCTTTTATTGGTTATTTTTGCATTTTTGGAGAATAGAGGAATAAGGTGTCGAAGGCACGACTCCGAATGCACATTTTCAGAATAAAAAACTCAGTTTTAAGAAGTTCTGCTCAGGCGACCGTGCTAAGCGCACCTCTAGCACGCTACGCGCAATTTTGATTATTCTAGAAGAACCATAGTGTTGTACCCCAAAATTTGCCTTCCCATATTTCTCAAAATATTTCAAGAAAAATTCACAAGTCCAACCCGGCGCGTCATATTCAGGTATTCTTTCGCCAAGATATCTCTGATAACGTATTTTCAAATTCAGGTTCGGCCCAAGAGTCAATTCTTTAAAGAAGGTATCCGAATGTGTGTGTTTTCTCGAAGAAATATGATGAAAAAGTTTGCTGAAAGTGCAGTTTTTACGCGCTAAAAAATTCATAACTTGAAGATCGTGGCTCGTATTGAACCCGTTCTGGTGGCCAAAATTCCGTCTTGACATTATCTACGTTTTCATCTCTCACGGATGGAAGCCAATTTCGATCAGAAGGTCTTCAAAAAGGTGGATTTATCAAGTATTTTCGTACAGAAAATTTGTGACAGAAGTTTATTTGCGTCATGTTCAGAAAATCATAACTTGGTCGATTTTCATCATATCGAGCTGGTTCCGGCGCCAAAATTTCACAAATTGAGTTGGATACATTTTCACAGGAGGTATCGAGTTCGAACGGTGTTCAAAAGGCCTTCATTTTTTGCTCAGAGTGTGTGACACGCCGAAAATCCTGAATGCTGAATATTATTTCATCTGGGCCGAAACTTCGAAAATTCATAACTCGGTCAATTTTTATCGGATTGGGCTCATATTTTTACACAAGGTCACTGACTCATAGATCTACAACTTTGCTTCAAAAGTCGAGACCGTATTATGCTCCGATCAATACCAGTTTTTTATTGAAGAACGTGTCAGAGTCGACACTGGAGCCCAAAATAAGTTTGTCTGAGCTGAAACTTCAAAAATTCATAACTAATTCACCGTTTATCCGATTGAGCCGATTTTCGGACAGGAGTTAGTTCTCGATGTAGGCTACATTTTGTCTTCACATTTCAACTTCAAAAATTGCACTTAAGTCCCTGCGATTTAGCCTGGAAAGTGACGAACTCAAGT